CCCCCTACACTGCTGACAACTACCTAGCTACCCTCCCCCTACACTGCTGACAACTACCTAGCTACCCTCCCCCTACACTGCTGACAACTACGCAGCTCTATAAGCGGTGAGTGTGATCGGATCACAACGTGAGACATCAAGAGCTATCTTTCTGTCATCGAGCACGGGTGGGTAGTGGAAGTGAGGGATGGGAGTTGAGGAGGGAGGGGTAGTGGAGGGGAGAGGAGGAGGCCGGCGTGTTTGCTTTGCCATTAGGGAAAGGCAGCGGGTTGATACCATAATTGCTTGTCTGATGCGCTTTTCTCTAAGCTAACTACCAGCATTTACAGGTGTTAGCCGTGTTACGGGTGTTTGGAACACTATGGGTGTTATATTTTCGGGGTGTGGGAGCCATAGAGAGATTTCGGAGTGTCATGAGATACACTTGACAACAAAACGCCTACATACATCTACTGTGAGCATACTTGCAGTATGCAAACATCACGAAATGTTCTTATTGAGCCAGAAATGTGCTCCGAACTAAAGCATTTTGAAAACCGCGTCCGACAGAGTTTCGGCGAATAAATACACATAAATTATGTTGAGCGAAGGAGGTACGCTAGCGCAAATAGTTCCTGGAAAGAAAACACTATATTTGTTTGCTGACTGCATAAGTAATGTAGATAATTAACATATGATTTAGACAAATTTCACAATTTTGTACTGAACAAACATCGAATAATAAATTATAACTTGTTTTAGCATGGAAAAGAACTGTTAATGAATCTAGCCGATTGCTCGGCTGTGTCCCGGATGTGTAATCATTGCTGTGGTGCTACTTTCGTAAGACAAGTACTAATTAGTTTAGATTTTGTGAAGAAATGTTATGAAAATAGCAATACAAACGAGTTGTAGTGAATTTTTGCAACATAGACGTCACGAGCTCACAGTAGGTCTATATATGCATTTTTCTGCGAGAACATGCCGTTTTAAGAGTATTAGGGTCTGCAGTGTTGGAACTAGTGTGCGCTTTGGGTAGTAACTGACATTTGTTTGCACGTGCATTTTTACTTACCGTAGACTAGAATTGTAATCATCATCATCATCATTATCATCGTCATCATCATCATCGTCATCGTCATCATCGTCATCGTCATCGTCATCGTCATCG